ACGGAGACGCTTACAGCAGATGTCGTTGCGGACGTAAACACAGACTCCGGCGCGCTGATGGAAATTATATTCCAATATATACCCAGGGTAGCCAAGGTACACCGCATTTAGATGACATCTGATCTGCGTCTCAGTCAAGAAGAGTAAGTGCGGCTTGTCAGTCTCAAGGTGGTAATAGACTGCATTGAGATTACAGGGCAGACCTCGGATGTTTGTGAGGTGCACTTTGATGGAGAGGGAGTGCAACCGCTGTACAGACTTACTTATCTTTTTCCTTTTTTTCATTAATGGTGAGATTAAATAGGTTGAGAAAATGGCAGTTGGACGAGGCGTCACACATATAACCTAGGGACGCAAACAGAGTCACAGCATCGATGGTACCTAGCATGGAGATCGCGGGGACGCCCGAACACCCCTGGAAATTGCCACCAGGCCCTCTCCTCCGGTCACCATCCGGCATGGTGGAGCCATTGCAGGATTTTTCGTAAGATGGCGGGGCAGCCTTTCATGAGTGGCTGGCTCATTAATTGGGCCCCCAACTATCTACGGTCGGCCAGTGGTGCAACCGTGCTTCGGATCCCACTAACCTCCATAACCAGGCACCTGACACTAAGAAAAGGCCGCGTCGCAGCCGGTTCGTATGCGCAACGCAAGTGTCCAGATCCATTCTCCCTAAGAAATGGGTTTCACCTAACATCATACCGGAACACGATTTGCATCATTTGGCGGTATGTCTTTGCCTGGTGGGTGGTAACTAACCCTTGGCCGGGCCTCTCACTAGTAGAAAACCAACCTACCACCAGTATGTAGTACTGCTCGTTTAGCACTATCCAGGGGATACGTGTAGGGAATCAGCATTCAAGTAATTCCTACGGACGCGAGCAGCTTCATCCCCCAAACTTTTAATGTATGGATTATTAACATGAGCTTCTGTAAATAATTCATACGACAAATCATTTTTATTCATTTTTATTTTATACAAACAAAAATAACAATAGAAATCTATAAAATTAAGAAGTGTATTTTAGATAAGAGAACATTTCGTTTTGTTATATTGTATAAACAGTGTCATCATTACCAAAGAATTGAAGAAAACACGAATTTAGGTAATCGTTGCACCGCTGGCGAGCGGATCAGTCGAGGAGACCCGCAGTGGGTATGTCAGACAACGAACATTCAGCCATTATTACCCGACAGATGAGGGGATTTTGCATAGTTAACTGTCTGTCCGTACTCTTAATAATTTCAAATTTTGTACAACCGACTTCAATATAAATTAGGTCAGGCCTTGATCAAACACCAGCTTTCAAATAAAAAAAGAATCATCGTAATGGGTTCACCCAGAAAAGTTATGAGATAACACACATAAAATAAACATACAATCGAATTGAGTATCTCCTTCTGTATGAAGTCGGTAGAAAATATACTGAATACTTTGTTATATTTAAGTAAGCAAATAAAACGAAATAATATTTTTTTTAGTTACCATTTACTATTTATGCTTGAACTATTAAAACGAGTTAGGAGAGTGGGCATTGTTATTTGGAAATTTATTTTTTATAATTGGAGGAAATTTATATAGATAAGATACCAAAGTTACTACGGAAGATATTGGTGTATTTGTTAAAAAATCTCACTCAGATTTAGTAGTGGTTTATATCCTTAAAGCATTTTGATTGTTTTTTTTTATCTTTTTTTAGAAAAACAAAATATATAAATAGTTACAACCTATATACGTCCTACTGCTGGGCACAGGCCTCCTCTTATTTCTGGCAGGGCTTTAGGGCAAGGAAGTGTTCGCCGCGCTGCTCTAATGCGTGTTGGCGAACTACACAACATGTCTTCGAAATAGTTTTTTCTTAGATCTCATACATGCAGACATAGGGTAATTAGACTAATAATTCTATGCATGCAGGTTACCTCACGATGTTTTCCTTTACCGCCGAGGACGTGATAAATACAGCACTTAAGGAATATATTATACATTTAAACGACTTTTTATGCCTGTGTGTGCCTTGGGAACGCATGACATCTATTTGGAAACACTGATCTTACCATGTCATAAATGTTAACGTCATAGTGAACTTCCGTAGAATTCCGTAGATGCTATCTCAAAATATCCGTAGCCTTAAGCTGCGTATTGACTTCGCGCGCCAAACCATCGGACATTGCCTAGCGTGGCAGCCGCGCACAGTGGATACGGTGTTGCCACGCGCAGCAATTCGAACATTGGCGCGCTCGAACGTGCCGCGCGACAAACCAATCCGTGTCGGTTTTTGACGGCGCGGCAAAGGAATCTCAGTGAGTTGTGCTCGCGCTGTTGGGACGGTCGTTTACGTATTTTAGTTGGCGCGCGCGGGAAAAACATGGATAAAGACAAGTGTCATAATTTAATTAGGTTTTACATGGTACTTAGCAATTTCTATGGACCAGTAAATGTAGTGATTATACAACAAACCGCTGCATTTCGCCGACGTACAACGTCCATGGTTGCCTAGCACAAAATTAACTGTCTCGCTGTATTTAAATTATTCGCTAAAATTGGCAAAAACACAGGTTTGCCGCGGACGAACAATGCTCACGCGGCAGCTACGCGATGTCGATACGCAGCTTAATACAACGCGAATGCGCGATCATCACTACTTCGCGCGAATTTTACTCGTACGAATACGCGCTCAAACATACTGATCTCGAATAGGTGCCCTAATTGGCTAACGCGCGATGGAATCGCGTGACTTAATTGTTTGAAAATCTACTCACGCGAACTTAGTTCGTACGAACGTGCGATCAAACATATTGCTGTCGAATATGTGTCCTAATTGACATTCGCGCGACAATCACGTCGTGTCGTTGGGCAGCGGGGTGAATGGCATGGACCCGACCTATATTGATTGTGAAATTCACCACGTATCGTTATTATTTCCAACAAAACACATTGCGACCCATTTCGTTCCTTTTCATTGCTGTCAAGACCAGCAGAATAGGTCATCCATTTATTGATTAAAAATTAATTCATAATTATAAAAAATAAATTTCTTATACTTACGCAAACACTACATAATCACATTGAATGAAACTACTTTTTACCAATTCTATCGCGTTTAATCATAATTATTTTTAAATTTCCGACGTTTTGTGGGCTTTCCAGCACCCATAGTCACGGGGGACTGAGGTGATTGACGTCCTGATGTCTGAGTTAAAACGGAGTATCTTCAGCTTTTTCAATTATGAGTTTTGGTCAAATCAACGCAGAATGAACTTACTGTGTCTAGAAGTATTGCAGTGGTATGCTTGGGTTTAGTTTTAATTCTTTCTTTTTCATATAGGAGAGGGGGCAAACGAGCATGCGGCTCACCTGATGGTAAGTGACTACCGCCGCCCATGAACAACCGCAACACCAGGGGAACCAGGAGAATTGCAGATGCGTTGCTGGCCTTTTAAAAAGAAGAAGAAGGCTCTTTTCTTGAAGGTCCCTGAGTCGTATCGGTCCGGAAAAATCGCTGATGGTAATCGATTCCACATGGAAGTCGTGCGAGGAAGAAACATCTTCTAAATCACACAGTGGTGGACCGCCAATCATCCAGATGGTGTGAATGGTATCAGGAGTTCTGCCGCGATGTGCGTTCGTGAAATTTGGCGGCTGGGATTAATCCGAACAATTCCTCAGAGCACTCTCCGTGGTAAAGGCGAAAGAAAATTCAAAGTGATGCAACATCTCTTCGCAGTGCCAATGAATCGAGCCGATCGGAAAGGACTCAGTCGTCGACGATTCGAACAGGTCTGCGCTGGATGCGGTCAAGTGGATGGAGCAGGCACTGGGGAGCCCCTGCCCAGAGATGGAAACAGTATTCCATGTGAGGCCGAACCTGTGCCTTGTAAAATTGCAGGCGGTGTGCCGATATGAAATACTGTTCCGCTCTGCTGAGCACGCCAAGCTTTTTAGAGGCCAATTTGGGTTTCTCTTCCAAGTGACCACGAAACTGCACGTCACTCGATATATGGACTCCAAGGATTCCGATACTGGCTGAGGCAAGAAGGGGAGTGCCTTGAAACTGAGGAGATACGACAAAGAGGTTCTTTTTAGCGGTAAACGCGCAAACTTGTGTCTTCTGAAGATTAAACTGGACTAGATTTAGTCGCCCCCAATCCGAGATTTTGCTCAGCAAAGACTCGACTTCGGACACAAAGTAAGAAAAGTAAAAAAAAAACGTTAAAAACAACGAACCATCTTCACTAAAATTAATACAGATAATTTTTTCTGGTTTCTGTTACTTTATTTGATAAATTACGGTGTTTCAGACATGGGTAATTTATGTAACAGTGAAAAACTATGCGAGTAACAATTTTTGAGAAATTCTAAAAAAGTATCGAGGAAAAGTGATTACGGATTACAGAATAACTAGATTTTAAAAGTTAACAAAAAAATATTTTTTTATCATGAGTGTGACCTTAGCCGACTACCGACAATCGAAAATTTTAACAATTGATATCATGTAATTTATTAAATTAACTAACAGAAAGCCGAAATAAAATATTAATGCTAATTTTAGTGAAGATTGTCCATTGTTCTTCATTCGTCTAATTATTGCTTCAAAATTTTCCAGCATCAGGTTTGTAACGTATTTTTTTTTAGTATATCGATACACAAATATTTTGTTGGTTGGTAACACTGTATCAAAGTAAAAAAATAAATATGGCCTAAAGGTCTAGATGCCAGACCATAAACTCTAAAAAAAAAATAACCATAGTCATAGTCATAGAGTCATAGACTTATAGACATTGACATTTTGACTTTTGACATAAAATATTCTGAACCTGAACCTTTGAATCACATAAAAATCAAAACATCAAACGACCAAAATTGTGATGATCCAATAATATAGTTATAGTATAACGTTGTGATAGTATCTTCAATGTAAATTAGTTTCTTGTTTAACGAGTATAAAAAAGTTGCTACAAAGTACCTATACTTGAAAAAGAAGTTTTTACTGATAGTAAACATGTTAAAAGCTGTGATATTAATCGGAGGACCACAAAAAGGTAAGTATAGTAAAAGCAAAAATATAAGGGAGGCTCCCTTAGATCTGTAATTTTTAATGAATATATCCAATAATAGTTAGAATCAGTGCAATATCAGTTTATAAAATACAAACACAAGCCACGTATTCAATCAGTGTTTACTTGTTATCAGTAAAATGTTATCTGTGAATAGTTACAAAATCAATTTATTTTTCTGTTCTTCACGCGTTAAATTTTCCGTACTATTAATTTTTCTACTGAAGACATTCAAATTTTAAGGTACTCGATTTCGACCATTGTCCTTGGACACACCAAAGCCGCTTTTCCCAATAGCAGGCTTGCCTCTAATTCAGCATCACATAGCAGCTTGTGCAAAGCTGCAGGAATGCAAGGAAATATTAATAATTGGTTCTTATACAACAACACAGTTGGCTCAATTTGTAAATGACATGCAGAAAGAATACCATGTAATTATAAGGTAAGAGATTCAAGTTATTGAAATAAAGAGTAAATAATGTGAATTATCATTATTAATTAAAATTTATGGAATTATGCTGTGTTGCAAGAGTATTGACTAACCCATATTTAATCAAGTGATGTTGTAAGAAGCAATGGAAGGAACTGAAACATAAGGTGGACAACAGCATCTTCCTTATAACAACTCAGTAATATACATAATAGAAAACTGTGACAATTGTTATAATGTATAATTACTGTCATACTTGGTAGGTATATAAATATCTCCCATGCAATCTATGTCTATATTAAATAGCAGTGGACTTTTGATAAGCTGTAATATTTGAATATTATGCTATATTGAATAAATTAATTTCCTGGCTGTAGTTTATTGGCAAGAATATTTGCATAAATTGATGCAACCTTTATGCTAGTGTATATAGCTACAACTTACAACACTGTACAGTTTTTGAATTTAGTATCAGTTGACAACCTTCAAATCTTTAGAGGTTTTTGTTGATTGATAATGAGCCTCAACAGTAGGTAAAAATTTAGCATTCAAATATGGTCCATAATAGAGGCCTATTTTGCGTACATCACACTAGTTTTTATTTTACGTCAATATATGCAGTAATGCCGAAGTTATAACTATGAGAAGGTTGGATTGGTTTCATGTGATTTTATGTGGTGATGTTGCATCTTTCACTTCTCAGCCATTCACCGACATACACAATGGTCGAACACGCTTGTTTTTCTCCAATTTTTTCCTATCTAATGTAAAAAGTTTGTAAGAGTTGTTGTAGGGGGCTAATTTTAACAATTTAACATGAAAGTCGACTAAAAAAAGAGCAAACTAAATCTTACCTTTGAAGTAGGAGAAGGTTAGTTAGAAATAGTTAGTATAATATGTCAAATCTTTTCTAAATTATGGCTGTTGCAGCGGAGCTAAATAAGGGCCACATTATGCAAAATTTTATTAAGAACTAAACTTGTTTGCAGTAGAAGCAACATCTCCACTTACAGATTTTTCTTAATAATTTCTTTTTTTTTTTAGGTTTATCAACAAAAATGTAATATATTAATGAAAACATGTTTTTTACAGGTATTTACAAGAGTTCACACCGCTTGGCACAGGTGGAGGTTTATACCACTTTAGAGATCAAATCAGAGCGGGCAATCCAAGTGCTTTTTTCTTATTGAATGGTGATGTGTGTGCTGCTTTTCCATTAAAGGAATTGTGGACTTTTCATGAAGAGAGACCTAGTGCTTTGGTAATATTTTCAAAACTAGTTGTTAAATTAATAGCAATATTAGAATACTACATGGCAACCTAAAGCATCTGTTATCATGTCAGAGTAACTGTCCAGCATGCAGTAAGTCCTGAATTAAAATTCCAACAAATACCAATGGGTTCTGGCATGGTGCTAGCCTACCTGAGTTTATCATATTAGTATTACATATTATATAACATGGCATTATAAAACATATATGTTAGGTTATTATCAATGGTAAAAGTTCTTCCAGGTCACCTGTATTAATGGATGTCCCTCAGGGCTCGATTCTAGGCCCATTCCTGTTTCTGGTGTATATTAATGACTTACCTCACCTTGTAGGGGATAGTCATGATATAGTATTATTTGCTGATGATACTTCCTTGATTTTTAATCTTAAACGTCAATCATTTAAATTTGACGAAGTGATTAATGCTATATCAAAATTAGTGCATTGGTTTAACGTTAATAATCTGCATTTGAACAGAAATAAAACTAATTGTGTTAAATTTTCAACAACAAATGTTAAAAATGTGAATACCAATGTGTTTTTAAATGGGGAGGAATTGAGCCCTGTTGCATCCACTGTTTTTCTTGGCATCACTCTTGACGCAAAGCTTCAGTGGGGCTCCCATATATCCAAATTAGCAAGCAGACTAAGTTCTGCAGCCTATGCTGTAAAAAAAATTAGAGGTCTCACTAGTGTCGAGACAGCTAGATTAGTTTATTTCAGTTATTTCCATAGCATAATGTCTTATGGGATATTGCTATGGGGAAATGCGGCTGATTCAGAAACTATTTTTGTTATACAGAATAGGGCCATTAGAGCTATTTACAATTTAAAACTGAGAGAGTCCCTTAGAGATAAATTTAAAGAAATAAATATATTAACTTTGGCCTCTCAGTATATTTACGAAAATTTAATGTTGACAAAAACAATGATAGTTTTAGTAAAAAAAGTGATATACATTCTGTAAACACTAGGAACAAACACAAGCTAGTGATGCCAGTTTCTCGACTCCACAGAGTCAGTAATTCATTCTTGGGGCAATGTATACGTTATTACAACAAGGTCCCAGAAAGTATACAGGTTCTCTCTATTACCAAGTTTAAATGTTTTATTAAGCTGAAACTGTATAAAAAGGGTTATTATAGTATAAATGAATACATGGTTGATAATAACCCCTGAGAATGAGGTGGTCGCTTCCAAGCAGTTTCTAAAATAAATTTTGTAAATAGTTTGTAATCATTTATATTGTAATTTTTTTTTTAAAACTCCCGCTGGGTTTCTTGCTGGTTCTTCCCAGGACAGAGGGTTTTTTTTTGAAACAGTGGTAAAGTAAAAAATGACTTTCAATAAGAGTTACACATGTAATGTATATTGAATAAAAAATTATTCTATTCTATTCTATAGGTAAATTAGGGCAAGTAAGTGTCTTCATGTAAATATGTACACTTGTTACATTTTCTAAACAGTAGATAGCTTTTGACAGTATTCGAAACTGGGTGCACAGGGTAATTATCAAGATAATTATAACAAATTTCTGCGTGTGTGTTGTGCATGCATAATTGTAATGGTACTTTGTTTAAATTTTGTTATTGTTGGTTGATTGTATTTAAATAGTATTAAATAGCGCATTTTTTTTTGTTTTGAAATCTAAGAATTATAACTATTAAAATACTTTTATTACACTTTACATTGCTGGATAATAACGGGAAATAACATCTTGATAATTTGCAACCCTGATTTATATGATATAAAAGCTTGGTGCCCCATATTGGATTTAGAGTGATGTCACTTAGCTAGGTGTACTTTTAAAATTCAGTTGCAAAATTCGACCCTAACAAACATACAAACATTGCAAGTTAAATATAAGCTTTTAAAAACAACTAATTTGATTGTAGAGTATTATCAAATATAAAAAAAATAATTAAAAGAATTACAAAATCCCTATTTGTCATTTTGGCTGCATATACTTTTAAAATTCTATTCTATTCTATAATATGATGACATATATTTTTTTATAGGATACAGTGACAAATGAGCACACAGTCCACCTGATGGTAAGTGGTTGCTGTGGCCCATAAACATCTACATTTTTTTTATAGGATAGGGTGACAAACGAGCACACAGTCCACCTGATGGTAAGTGGTTACTGTGACCCATAGACAACTACATCTATCCTCAATAAAGACTCAAGATGCAGCTGCGTTGTCACCCGTGAGGACTAAGATAGAATGCCTCTTTGCCAGTAAAAAGGGTCTCCGGTTCTCTACACTCACCATATGAAACACAGCAGTGTTAAGCTGCTATTTTATGCTGGTTTTCTGTGAGAGCATGGTCTTTCCTGGTCGAGTCGACCCATTCGTGCTACAACTATACTACTAATATAGCTGCAGCATGGCTCTACCACGTACAATATATTTTATATTTTGTATATTTTATAAACTTGTATATTACATTATAATAAAATATAAATCTAAAATTAATTTTTAGTATTAGATTTCCATTTGTATTCATCTAATAATAATAGCCTTTTATTCCTAAACATATTGTAAATAAAAATTTGTATTCATCTAAACCGTAGTAACTTATCTAACTGTCTAAACTTTTAACTAGTATTAGGAAATATTTAAAAAATAATAATAAATTATATATTAACATGCTGTACACATGGTTTTTTGTTTTTCTTATCTAAAGATAAGAATATGTATAAAAGACTTGATATGATGATGATCAATGACAAACTTTGAATACCTGCATAAAATAGCAGTTAAATAAATTTAACATATAAAAATAATGATTGTTAAATGATGATTAAAATGTTTAAGTTTTCATTTGCTTAGTATTAACTAACCTATTTAAGTTTTATTTGCATAGTTCACATTTGCATGCCGTGGCAGCCTGTAATTAAGATGACGCTTAGCTTTAGTTTTATATTCATGTTACCTTAATATCCATGTATTAGTGTTCGTCTTGTTGGTTGTCCTTTTAAATAAATAAAATAAAATAAAAAATAAATAATGCTGCTGTGTTTCGTATGGTGAGTGTAAGAGAACCGGAAACCCTTTTTACTGGAAAAGAGGCATTCTTTCTTAGTCCTCACGGCTGACAACGCATTTGCATTTTAATTCGCAAACTAAGATAGATGTAGATGTCTATGGGCTACAGCAACCACTTACCATCAGGTGCACTGTGTGCTCATTTTTGCCACCCATATTCTATATAAAAAAAAAATAAGATTTTCAATTTTGTTTTATTTACTTCTTTGTACTATTTAAAAGATTGTGATAATAAAACATTAAGCATTATTTTAGGTAACAATTATGGGCACTGAAGCAACCCGACAGCAATCAATCTATTATGGTTGCATGGTACGAGAGGCATCTACCAAAGCAGTAACACATTATGTAGAGAAACCCAACACATATGTTTCTACATTAATAAATTGTGGGGTTTATGTCTGCTCACTACAAGTCTTTCAGACTATGGCAGAAGCATTCCAGAGGAAACAAGATGGATTTTATAGGTAAACAAATGTGATTAATTGTTGATCAGATATTATTTACAGCCTATATATACGTCCAACTGCTCTGCACAGGCCTCCTCCCACTTCTGAGAGGGCTTTGCAAGAAAAACACTTCTGAAGACATGCTTCACATCTCTTCCAAATATATTTTTTTAATTTCACATGCATGTTTTCTCACAATATTTTCCTTCACCACCAAACATGTGATTAAGTAATCAGCACTCAAAATTGCAATTAAATTTTCAGCTGACATTTGGCTTCTGATCTACCACTTATTTTTTCAAACCTAACACCAACCTCATTTTTTCTTCAATCAATTCAGTAATTGTAAACCAAAATTGTAATAATTAAAACTTAAAATAACCAACTTCAAAAACTAAAAAGAATTAAAAAAATCTACATATTTTAATAGGTTTTGAAAGTAATGCTAAGACAAGGTGTATTGAATAATTAAATTGTCAACTTCAGAAGCTATAGTAATGTGAGAAATATTTATTGTTTTTTAGTTTTTAGAAATTTATACTACCTGTATGGTTTGTAACGCCACACACTTTCAAGAAGTAGAGTTGTAGTTAATGAGCACGTCAAAAGGAAAAGATCACCAAAGTTAAAAGTTTAATAAAAGTAAAATAGAAAGTTAGAGTGGCAAATCTTTCCTTGAGTAGTTGGTGTTTAAAAGGACGGTTGTTGACGTACTGCCGATTGTGAGATTGCAATTAATTATGTAAATTTAAATACACAAATACACAATTGCAGCATTTACTAAGAAAAAATGTGTGGTGTAACAATACACTACCACTAGAATATAATCTTTGAAATTACATCAAGAATTTCATCCCTTATTTTTCCACTCTTAGAGGTGGAACTTTACTATATCCTTGAGTTACAAGCCAAGCAAGTAGTAAAATTAAAAAAATTCTACAACCAACTTTAATATAAACTAGCTGTTCCCCGCGACTTCGCCCGCGTGTAATTTGGGGTTTTAATTTTTTTTTGCGCGGAACCCTAATTCTTTTTCTAAAAAAAAGTAGCCTAAGTTACTCCTTGTGACATCAGCTATCTGCCAGTGAAAATCCCGTCAAAATCGATCCAGCCGTTTCGGAGATTAGCCGGAACAAACAGACAGACAGGCAGACAAAAACTTTAAAAATTGTATTTTTGTTATTAGGACTGTATATTTTCATATGCATTTAGTAAAAACCTGTAATTTTGACATTACAAACAGACACTTCAATTTTATGTATTTGTATAGATGAAATGAGAACATCATCAATGTAGTCGAAGTCAATGATATCTCTTATCTTTTTTTCTTTTTTAAAAAAAGTTACCACCACACTAGGATTTTTTCCTGTTTCGTGGAGGCAGTTTACAAACATAAATTGCACAAGGACAAACATCCAGACCCGGAACAATTATTTGTAGGCCATATAAATACTTTTTCCGTGCGGGATTCGAACCCGCGGCCCCCAGCGCATCAACTCATTGCTAAGCCACTGCGCCACGGAGCTTTCACATTTTTAAGGATTACGCATTATTAAGCATTACTCAAAAACTACTGGTCAGATCTTGATCAAATTTATATGGGATCACACCGAGTAAAAAGTTCTGAGGTAACACACATAAAAAATACAGTCAAATCGAGAAACTTCTCCTGTTTTTGAAGTTGGTTAGTAAAAATAGATAACGCGTAACATAATCATAAAAAAAACGTTGAATAAAACTAGTTTGTATGGATTTTATCCCATTTGTTTAACTTATTTTTTCATATTCCCAAAGTTTTAATACTTTGCCGCCATGATCATGGGGGGAGGGGGCTGATGTGTGCGACATCCCAATGTCAACTTATATTAGTCTTGCAGTGGTATACTTGGGTTGGCATTTAATATTATTAAGTATACGATCCTATGCAGCAAAAGGCCAACTACTCAAACTAACGTTTTAAGATGTCGTTAAGTCTCGTGGTGTCACAGTCATTTTGACATAAAGTTATAGAGACAGCACGAGACTTAACGGCGTCTTAATATTGAGCAACATTTGAGTATTTCGGCATAAAAACAGAAACAGTTTCGGCAGAAACAGTGGTAGAGCCACGCGGCAGCTTTTGCTGTCGCACGGATGGGCGGGCTCGAACCGGGGTGGTACCACGACCTCACAGAAAACCAGCGTGAAGTAGAGGTTTACCTCTGCGTATCGCTTGGTGAGTGCAGATGGCCGGAGGCCCTTTTTACTGGAAATGAGGCATTCCATCTTAGTCCTCACGGGTGACAACGCATCTACATTTTGATTTGTAATAGGGGATAGATGTAGATGTCTATGGGCCGCAGCAACCACTTACCATCAGGTGGACTGTGTGCTCGTTTGTCACCCTTATCCTATAAAAAAAAATCTTATAAACAATTTGAAGCTTTTACAAATACTTCTGTAATTAGTAATTAAATAGATCATACTTATACCTTAACTTTTTACCTGCAATAATGTCTGAAGTGATTGTAATATAGCTTGCATTTGGTTTCAGTGCCAACGGACAGAACAGTCCACATCCAGGTTATATGTCATGGGAACAGGATGTCTTAGCCCCGTTAGCGGGCACAAATAAGCTTTACGCAATGCAGGTATTTAATTTTAATAACTTCTATTAACGCTAGCTGACCTGTCAGACGTTGTTCTGCCCTTTCCAGTTGGTAATATGATGATTTGTTAATTTATTATCATCATGAGGATTTAAAAAAAATAGATATTGAGTTTTTCCATCAAGAAATTCTCAGTAGCTGCCCGGAGTCAGGAAGTTGGCGGTGTCTCACCCCAGTGCCTCGGAAAGCACGTAAAGTCATTACACATCCTACGCCTGATCTCTCCCCGATCGTGTCGGTTTACCGTCCCATCGGACATTGAAAGTGAAGGAATAGAGAGTACACCTGAGCTTGCGCATACACTTGGGCACTATAATCCTGACTTGCGCCGACGACTGGCTTCCGTGACCGAAATTTGGTCTGGAGGACATAATTTATTAATAGTTTGACCACTGCGCTATCTATTAGGTCTAGTTTTTATGTATTTCAATATGAGAATTTGTTAATAATTTAACTACAGCGCCATCTATCAAATTCTCGCATATGTATGAACCATTATCTCGATAAAACAATTAAATTCTAAACAAATCAATCAATTGAGCAAGCTGTTGACAAGTTTTATTATCACTAACAATAGATGCATCACCAATTATATTTTAGAATAGAATAGAATAGTTTGGAAAATCCAAAATTGAACGCCTCATGATCAATTCATTTAATTTTGACGAAAAAAATTATTTGTATTCCTGACTTTAAAAATTATATTGTTTACGTTTTTTTTTCAAAGTAGCAATATAAAATGATTTTTTAGAAAATATATCATGGATTAATTAGTGTTTTCTGGATATACGGCTGCTCATATTATCGTTTAAGTGCAATATGGTTGTGATGGAGGCATTTTAAGAACACAAAATTGTTTGACCTTGACGTGTCGAGAGTAGTACACGCCTATAACGTTTCGCGTTATTAGGCGTGCAATAAGTAATTTATTGTGCTAGTTGTAGGTTTTAGAGATTTAAAATTATACTAGTATTTAAGTATCACCACAACCTGCCTAGATTACAATATTATTAAAATCATGAAATTCAAAAAATTATCTCATTATTATAGATAAAGTCATGTCATAATCCTCCATTTCTCTTTAATGTAATGAGGCCCTTACCCAGTTGTAGACTATTAACAGTGTAACAGTAATGTTTTCTAGACTGGATATCAGTCTCAGTGGCCTGTCCTAACGGACCTAGCTTTCTGCGCACGGCAGTTACTTATATAGTGCAATAATATTACATCACGCATTTTAATATTCTTAAAACAAATACATTGCTTCTTTAATGATATAAAAATATTATTTAGTTTGCTGATTAATGACTCATTATCTTCATCTACACTCAATGACAGTGCCTTGACAAAAAAATAAACATAAAAACTTATAAAGTATTCAAATATTAAAAAATAAAATAAGTTATTGTGTATTGTTAAATGGCATGATGTTAAAAAGAACTATATTTAAATGTTGCATTTTCTTACAGGTCACGAACTGGTGGTCGCAAGTGAAAACAGCTGGCTCTGCGATATACGCTAACCGACATTACCTAGAGCTGCACCGTCCGAAACAACCCGCAACACCGCCATGTCATATACTGCCTGATGTATTTCTGCATCCCACCGCTACTGTTGACAGCACTGCTGTGGTAAGACATACTAAATTTTTCAGTCGCGAGCAGCCAGCGGAATCACAGCTGGAGTAAATATTTGTAGTAAAACGATAATAGAGATAAGCCTGGTTCTTCTGGGTACCCGGCAACCGAACACCCGGCGGCGTTTGGAATAACGTTAATGGTAATGTTTATAAAAGAAAGCGTAATCCCCTTGATCCTGCTCGATGATAATATCCAGACTGGCGGTATTCTGATTCGTATTTTGATTTCTAACTGTCTAGCAGGGCGGTGACAGAATATCCACTACCCCATACCGTCTCGTTATAAGAGGTGAATTTTTTTTTATACGATAAGGGTGACAAACGAGCACACAGTCCACCTGATGGTAAGTGGTTACTGCGGCCCATAGACATCCACATCTATCCTCGTTTGCGAATCAAAATGCAGATGCGTTGTCACCCGTGAGGACTAAGATGGAATGCCTCATTTCCAGTAAAAAGGGCCTCCGGCCACCTGCACTCACCAAGCGAAACGCAAAGGTAAACCTCTTCTTCACGCTGGTATTCTGTGAGGTCGTGGTACCACACCGGTTCGAGCCGGCCCATCCGTGCGACAGCAAAAGCTGCCGCGTGGCTCTACCACTGTTATGATGGTGAAATTAATGTCGATAGGTGTTAATAAAAAGGAGACGTGTTGATTGTTTTAGATCTTTAATTATACTGCTCCAAATATTAAGCTTAACACTAATATATACATACTACACTACAGTGTCGGAGAGTAGAAAACTAGATCGGCAACAGCATCTTCCTGATAAAAGCTCTGCGGCTACCAACCCGCCTGTGAGGCAATCTATGGGGGAGGCCTGTGTTCACCATCGGAATCGCATGGAATGTAATGGATGGATGGAATGAAATTTGATTTTTGGGCTTTGAAGTTACATTTTGTAGAAATAACCTTATTTGTCGTGAAAGGGTGTAAGTGAATTTTGTTATGTGGTGGTAAAGCCACGCTGCAACTATATTATGGTTGTAGCACGGATGGGTCGGCTCGACAGGGGAAGGACCACACTCTCACAGAATACCAGCGTAAAATAGCAGTTCTATGCTTCTCGGGGGACGTAGATGCGGCAAATCAACTGAAATAAATTTGTAAAAATATATTTCTTCACTCCCATTTTTGGGTATTAAAACTAGAATTTCAACATCACCATACATAAAATATATAACCTTCTTTTTTAACAGATTGGCCCCAACGTGTCTATAGGTGCAGGAGTTACGATAAAAGCTGGTGTCAGAATCAAAGAATCAATAGTATTAAATAACGCCACCATACACGAACACGCTTTGGTTATGTATTCTGTCGGTAAGTTTTATTTACATATATTATTTAAAATCATTCACTGTAATAATGATTTAATAAAATTACATGTCACATTGTTTGTCAGCGATGAATTCCCTAAACTACTGAAATGGTTTCAATGAAATTTTGCACATTGTGTCCAGTTTGGTCCAAGTTGGGAGATATGATAGTTTTATCCCGATAAGTGACCCTTAATAATTATTTTACGAATTTAAGGATTTTTGATAGGACAAAGGGTGAGGACAACGTCTGCCTGACCAGCTAGCTTAAGAGGAAATGCGGGTGGTATTTTCTCTATACAAACGCACTCGTCTGTTTTCTTTCTGATTTATGACCATATAGCAATGAGCTTTTACAGTAAAATAAATATCAACCTCTTCTAGGTCCCTATGTTTCCTTAGTTTTATTATCTCTATAAGCACTAGAACCCTTACAAAATGCTCAAAATTGCCTACTTAGACCGCTGTCAACAGAGGCCTAGTGTTAAAATTTGATAACTAATACTGAGAAAAGAAAAACATAGGGACAGTATATATCCTTGTTATTCAGTTTATTAAATATCTTTTAAATTGGTCCAATATTGGAGGAGGAAATGGTAGAGAACCAAACCTCCAATTATGCCTTTTTACTTAGGCTATTCAGTCGGATCTGCAGTTGTCCTTATCTGACGCCGCGCGCTCACAAAACGACAGCTATAGTGTCTTCAAATACCTAATTTTTAAAAGTCGCATTTCCGCATAATATATTATAATAAATTATAAATAATATGTACTCATTTAAAGTATTTTCTTGTTTTTATTAATCTCTATTCAACTGTTTTTTTTTTTATGTACATACTTTACGTGAATATATATTTTATTACGCTCTAATGCGATTATACACAGAGACTCTTTGTAACGAGACATTCTATAAAACTAAATATACATATATATGTTTCCTTGAAGTTGGTCAAGATGCTTCGGTAGGTGAATGGTCGAGGGTTGAAGGAACACCATCGGATCCTGATCCAAATAAACCCTTTGCAAAAATGGACAATCAACCACTCTTCAACAGTGACGGACGTTTAAACCCTTCAATTACTATATTGGGTAATTATTTATTGTATTCTAAGTAATTCAAGCAGTCACCATTGATAAGTGGCGAAATAACCATATCATCATCATCATCATCATCATTATTGCCTTACGTAAGCAGTGTTGTTTGATTTAAATCAGGCTGATTTAAATCATGATTTAAATCAACATGTATAAATTAGTGTAATAGGCAGAAAATGAAATAAAACTGGCTTAAAATAAGGTAAAATCTCTTGTTGTTTTATGTTATTCTTATTATTCTACTACAATAGTCTCATAAAGTTTGGAAAATCAACAAAGACGTAGCGATGAGGTCTGTCAGTCACATAAACTTAGTAAAATCAATTTTATTTAGAAACTAGTTGTTCCCCGCGACTTCGCTCGCGTGCTAGGGTTTTTATGTTTTTGCGCGGAACCCTAATTCTTTTTCTAAAATAAAAGTAGCCTAAGTTACTCCTTATGAAATCAGCTACCTGCGAGTGAAAGTCCCGTCAAAATCTCTTTAGCCGTTTCGGAGATTAGCCGAAACAAACAGACAGACAAAAATTTTAAAAATTGTGTTTTTGTTATGAGTACCTATACGGTAAAATTTATATAGATAAATATAAAATAGATAGATATAAAATTTGTATAGATTCACCCTTAATATATGAACTGTAATTAATACAGATAATAATAGAATCAGGCGTTACTTTGCGGAAATCCATTATATAAAAGCTTTTAGAAAAATTTACTTCGCAAATATCCGCATTATAAAATAAAATGATGTGTCTTACCTAGTATGAAGAGCACCTCCGTCCCTCCCTCACTATCCCCGTCACCACTAATCCCAGCACCGCTACTCCCAACACCACTACACTAGGCAAGACACGCCACTGACGATAATACGACACATGTTTCGCCCCTAAACGAGGCATCCTCAGGTGATATAGACTCTACGGTGGCTAACTGCTAAGTGAGCGGCGAGCCAAAACAAGTGCCGAAAAAAAAATTAAAAAAAAATCTAAAAGCTTTTATAAAATTGAAGTGTCTGTTTGTAATGTCAAAATTACGCCTTTTTACTAAATGCATATGAAAGTATATACGATAACGTATAACAAAAACACAATTTTTAAATTTTTGTCTGTCTGTCTGTTTGTTCCGGCTATTCTCTGAAACGGCTGGACCGATTTTGACGGGACTTTCACTGACAGATAGCTGATGTCATAAGGAGTAACATAGGCTACTTTTATTTTAGAAAAAGAATTAGTGTTCCGTGCAAAAAAACTAAAACCTCAAATAACACGCGGGCGAAGTCGCCAAAAACAGCTAGTGTATTCATAAACTTTTAATCCTACTATGTCAAAAAGTGTTACCAACTCGTGAATTTCCAAATATACAAATAAAAATCAAAAAGTTTAAATAAAGTCTAAAAAATCATGATTTTTTAAAATAAATCAGCATGATTTGATTAAAATTAAAATTCATGATTTTTTCCATCCCTGTTCGTAAGTCGGGCTATGTTGGGTACTCTGGTTCTACTGCAGACATCTTCATTACGGATTCTATCACACAATATAATGGTCCTACTGAATATCGGTGCTTAAACATTCTGTATTCTAGATTCGACTGCCTCTTTGTCCTCTTTGCATTGTGGTCGCAAATGCGGTTACTGACCATGAGGACCTGTGTTGGAATCCCCGGTTTGGCCAGAAAATCAATTATTGGGTTTTTCTGTTTAGAAATTCTCAGTAGCAATCCGGAGTCAAGAAGTTGGCGGTGTTATACCCGCGTGCCTGGAAAAGCACGTAAAGCCGTTGGTCCTCCGCCTGATTTATCTCCGGTTGGATTACAGTCCCATCGGACTATAGGAGTGAAGGAATAGAGAGTGCACCTGTGCTTGCGCAAACACTTGGGCACTATAATCCTGTCCTGCACAGATGGCTAGTCTCCGTTGCGACTGGCCGCCGTGGCCGAAATTCGGTCTGGGGGACATTATTATAGTAGATATAGCACATGCTGAATGGGGACTTTTAATAGCATATTCATTTCATTAATTACTCTAGCTTGTGTTATTTATTAAATTAATATTCTTTTTTTGCAGCAAAGTGTATTTTTTTTAGTTTTAATAAGCATTTATAAATCAGGTAAAGTTTTCTTTCGGTCTTTCAAAATATTTTATTTCAACAGGTGCAGGCGTAGTGGTTCCAGCAGAAACCATACTTCTTAATTCCATAGTTTTACCGCACAAACACCTCACGAGGAGCTTCAAGCACGAAATTATTTTATAGTAATTTACTTTGCGCGGGTGATGATAAACGCGCAATATAAAATAACTGTATCTAGGTGAAAGCAACCAGTCTATCCTTGAGAATAACAAAATATCGCTGTTTTTGTCTAAACTTAAAATCGTTTTTTGTAGATAACTATATAGCAATCCGCCCCGGCTTCGCATAGTTTCTTTCTGGATCTCGACAACAACGCCACCTACCGGGTCCAATTGTGAATCTAAACCGTTCTCTAATCAACTTAATCACACACACAAAATTTCAAAATCGGTCCAGACATTTAGGAGGAGTACAGTACATACTCACAATACACACGGACAGAAAAAATATATAATATATAATATGACGTTCCTCTTGAATCATTCTATTGATGAAAACCGCATCAAAATTCGTTGCGTAGTTTAAAAGATCTAGGCGTACAGAGGGCGGGATGCGACTTTGTTTTATACTATGTAGAGATTGAAGTAGAATCATTGTGAACTACAGATCCTGGCCTATTGTTAAATATACGTAAGCGTGGAATACTAAAGCGAAGAAAATAACCGTGGTTAAACTAATTAATAGTGGTTTATAATCTGTAAGGTGTAAGAACGCCATAGCAAATCTATCGGATAGATCAAATATAAACATGTATATATACATATACAAAATTAATAGACTTTTGTATGTGTACGAATTTCAAAACTTTTATTTCTATAGCATACAGTATATATTTTTTGTATATAAGAGATTAGTTTTTAAGATCACGTATTTTGGATATAGAATTTACCTAAATATATTTATGATAGTTTCAATAATATAAGTCGCGGCACGAAAGTCTAGCGGTGACCGTTATTGCGCATAAATCGAAAATAAGGTATCATGGAATAGTAAGCGGGTCGCGGGGCGGGCGTGCGTACTCCAGTAGCATTCCGTGCGCTGATTGGCTCTCCAGTCGCATTCCGCGCGCTGATTGGCTCTCCACCTTACTTATTACTTACGTGCCGCGACTTGTATGAACATAATTTCTTTTATATTTTAGATGTTATGATTTTAGAACTTCTAAAATCTATTATTTGTCTATTGTTTACCTCACCTTTTTCTACTTATATTATTATGTATAAATGGTTGTGACCTAGACGAGGTCCATTCAATCATCATTCCGTAGTATATTTAAATTTATATAATATTAAAATAAACTTATTTAAGTAAGTAAATAGGTTTGTTTTAAGCCAGCTATACATGTTGGCCGAGCGAAGACGAGTACCAACATAAGGACAGAACATTTGCCTAGCCTCGCCTTTGCTCGTCGTCGCTCGCCTAGCTGGCCGAGTGCAGGCGAGTGCCAACGTGTATACGGTTCGTTTGGCGCACCTAGCCACCAATCGGGACCACTCGTCACGACTCGTCTCACTTCGGAACAGTGTCGGTTTTTCTGCACAAATCAAAGGCGCTCGCCTGCGGTCGGCAAGTCGCATTACATGTTAATTGGCAGAGTCAAAGTCACTTGACTCGGCCAATTAACATGGCCAACATGTCGACTGGCACTCGCTTTGTATCAATTTGCCTACGCTCGCGTTGGAAGAGGCTTGGCCAACATGTATTGCCGGCTTAAACCTATTGACTATGCCAAATATAATGCACAATGTCATTTATAAAAACCGACAAACTTCATTTATAAAACAGTAAGTACCTATAGTAATAATAAACACAAGGTAATTTAATTTTTCCAACTAATTTGTAAATTATGTTATAAAAATTAGTAATTTTGTAATTAAAATAATATATGCAAATATATTAATAGAATATTATTTATTCCTAATCCATTTACTTTTTAATTGTTTACTGTCACAGTAACAGAAATTATTAGTTGCATTTATTCATAACTACAATGCAATTTAGTGTTAATTTATGAAACATTTGAAACTGGTACCACACCCCATACGTGGTAGAGCCATGGTGCAACTATTAGTAATATCATTGTAGCACGAATGGCCATGCTCTCACAGAATATCAGCGTGAAATAGCAGCTTAACACTGCTGTCTTTCGTGTGGTGAATTTAGAGAAACGGAGACCCGTTTTACTGGAAATAAGGCATTTCCATCTTAGTTCTCATGGGTCATAACACATTGCATTTTGATTCGTAAACAAAGATACACGTAGATGTCTATGCGCCACAGCATTCACTTACGATCAGATGGACTGTCTGCTCGCTTGTCACTCTTATCCTATAAAAAATATATCAAATGTAACTAACATTACAGAAACAAAATCCTTACATTTTTCTAACAAATAAAGTTACCACTTATGAAACCTGCTGAATGCGTATTTGACCTCATTCGAAAGTGGGCCGCCCTGATGGGAAGAAAAGGCGTGGATTAAGTGCCCTCATTTGATATCTTCTTCTTTTAAATTATGGCTTCTTTTGATAGAATTCTGTCAGTGTCAAGTCAGTCATGGGAACTCATTTAATAACACTGAGTAGGTATTTTACACGAGTCAATTGAAATACTTTTAATTTAACGCATTTTTAGTGTAACAATACTCTTTTTATGGCAAGTAAAGAATAAACGGTACGAGCGACCGAGCTTTGTTCAGCGTTCATCATTATCATCTTCATTACAGCCCTTCACAATCACAAGTCCACTGCTGAACATAGGCCTCCCCCTAGGAATGCCACAAAGCACGGACCTGAGCCACCTGCATCCATCGAATTCCTGTATGTCTTACCAGCTTGTCACTCCATCTAGTGGGGGGACGCCCTACACTTCGTCCGCCGGTACGAGGCTGCCACTCGTGAATTTTTTCCCCCATAGATTGTCGGTTCTTCGAGCTATATGGCCGGCCCATTGTCACTTCAGCTTACTAATCCTTTGGGCTATGTCGGTAACTCTGGTTCTACTGCGGATATCCTCATTTCTAAGTTTATCACGCAGAGATATCCCAAGCATAGCCCTCTCCATAGCTCGCTGAGCGATCTTGAGCTTCCTCATAGGGCCAGCTGTGAAGGACCACGTTTCAGTTCTATAGGTAATTACTGGCAACACGCACTGGTTGTATAGTCTAGTTTTAGGTTTTGAGGTATATGTACCTGACGAGCCGTAATTTCCCGAATGCTGCCGCCAGCCGAGTTGAATCCGTCGATTGACCTCTCGGTCGAATTAGAACTTACCTAGTCGGACTATATGTCCCAAGTAAACATACTCGTTAACAACTTCGCACTTAGTGTCCCCAACAACTACCGGCATAGGAATGACATGGACGTTACACATGACTTTTGTTTTGTCCATGTTCATCTTAAGATTATTGAACATAATGCTTAGGTCTTCCAGCGATTCTGCCATAAGGACTATATCGTCGGCAAATCGAAGGTGAGTGATGTACTTGTCATTCACTTTAATACCGTATTATTACCAATCCAGTAGCTTGAAAACGTCTTCCAATGCAGCGGTTAAGAGTTTCGGGGAAATAACGTCACCCTGTTTTTCACCTCTGCAGTTTGATAGGTTTCGTACTCTGGTTCTGCACTCGGATAGCCATCGTAGCCCTACTGTACAAACACTTCAGCACTTCGTAATACCAACAGTCAACTTGGCAACAGCAGCACCGCCCAAATTTCGGCGGAATCAAATGCTTTCTTATAACCCACATAGTGGCCAATTGTACTCCTCGAACTTCTGTACAATTTGCCGAAGGGTATGTATGTGATCTATGGTGCTAAAGCCTTTTCGGAAACCGGCTTGTTCGGGAGGCTGGAAGTCGTCAAGTCTGCATGCGAGACGATTCGTAATGACTCTCGAAAACAGCACGTAAACGCGGCTCAGAAGGGAAATCGGTCTATAGTTCTCCAAGATAGCGTTGTCGCCTTTCTTGAAGAACAAGACCACCGCACTTCTGCTCCACGCCTCTGGTGTAGTGCCACCATGGAGGACTGAATTAAAGAGCTTCTGAAAGTTTTCCACCCGCTTTTAGAAGCTCCGCTGTAATTCCATCCTCGCCTGGGGCCTTGCCGTTTTTAAGGTGCTGGAGAGCCATTCTAATCTTGCTCAGACTGACGTCCAGAATATCATCGGAATAGTGTCTCATAAATAAAATAATTTATTTTTCTTCACAAAACTTAAATTAATTAGATAGTTGATTGGCTGCCCATAGAATCTCTCAATGTCACTCAAAATCTCAGGTGTCCCATAAACGACTCTGTCGCACTCGGTCTTCAACTTCGATAGTTGGCTCTGTCTGGCAGACAGATCTCTAGCAAAGACATTGGAGCTGGTACTGCTCGATCGCTTGTTCAATACGTGCTGTATTGAAGTTGCGTAAGTCCCGCCGCATGCATTTGAAGATATCAGTCTGTTCAGTTGCCTGTACGCTGTCAAATCTGCTGAAGACTGCAGCTTCATTTCCCGTCTAACAACCATGAGATTAAGAGTGTGATCGGAGAGTTTTTGTGTTCTTCTGCGGCAGGTCTTGCAGAACTTAGCTCCGACCGCATGGACAGTTTCCACGAGCTTATCATTCATATCCTCCACTGCATTGCAATCTTTTAGACACTTAAAACGGTTTTGTAGCTCGAGCTGAAAGATTTCGGGGCTCTAGATTAGAGCACAAGGGGACGGTGCGTTCATTAGACGAGACCTCTCCAACTTAACGTTTAGGTTCAGTGTGCCTCTAACCATTCGGTGATCACTACTAGTTCTCACCCTCGTGATCACTGAGACATCACTAAACAGTTGTCGTCTGGTCGTCATAATGAAGTCAATCTCATTTTTTGTCGAACCGTCGGAGCTCGACCAGGTCCACTTCCTGTAGGCCCCACTGGAAGAAAGAGTTCATCATAAAGAGTCCCTCTTTCTCCATAAAGTCTGCCAGCTGCTAGCCCCTTGGGTTCCCTTGCCCTATTTCAAATTGCCCTACCTTCAGCTCATCGTTCTCTCTTGTGCCTAGTTTTGAGTTGAAGTTTCTCCCATTAACACCGTATAGTGTGTTTTGGAGGAATGCATGGCTCTAGATAGGTCCTTTTCTC